GTCTTATTTCAATATTTGTATTTGGTTTAAAGAAGTTTTAGAGAGTTGTTTAGAAAACTATCTTTCTTACTAGATCTTTGCTTTATGCAAAGATCTGAAAAGCTGCGCTAGGTTTATCCAGGGCCACCAATAGTAGATCAGGACAAGGATGTATGGGAGAAGCTCGAGGGCCCAAGTTCACGGACACCATAGAGAAGGTGCAGCAGGGTGTGGTGGCACATGTCTGTAACCCCAGCGCTCTGGGAGGAGGAGGCAGGAGAACCACAAGTTGGATCTCAGCCCGGGCAATTTAGCAAGACTCTGTCTCAAAAAACAAAACAAAACAATGGGAGATGTAGCTCCGTGCCAAGGTCCTGAGGTTTGGTTCAAGTCCCAGCTCTGCTCGCCCCCAAAAAATAAAATTGCAAATTAAGCTGTTCATAGTGTTAAGCTGGTCATCAAGGAGAATCAAGGAGAACGTATGGGAGCTATTTCTCAGGACATCCACAGATGCAGCTCATGTGCCTGTCTGGTGCAAATCCTACCAATGCGAAAGCTAAAGGGAGATTGAACGCATTGCCATTCGCACACAGCATATAGAGGTCCTCGGTATCTACGGGGCGTGAGTTCCAGGCACCCCCTTGGTTACCAAAATCTTTGGCTGCTCACCTGTCTGTATAAAATAGCACAGTATTTGCGTATAACCTACACATATGAACCCGTACACTTTAAATCATCTCTAGGTGACTAATAATAATAATTCAACACTCACATGTCACTTAATTCACCTAGATCCCACATAGAACACAGTGCATGACCAATTAAAATGGTGTTTCGGGGAAATTTTTAAAATAAAATTTGGTTTTCTACCTGCAGTTGGTTGAATTTGCAAATGCAGAGCCTGCGGATACAGGGTAACCAGCTATAACTGGATAAAATACTGGCGGTATCCCAGTTACAGGGATCCAAGGCCTAGGTCAAGAGCTTGTGATCAACTGTGATGTTAATCACATCCTCAGCTACCCCGACAAAACCGTTCTTGCTCTAACACTTTTCTTTGCCAAACATAACTTGCCTGAGAACATCGTTTCCTCCAAGGAAAATGCACAATACTTTTTAGAACTCTGGACAGATACCTGATATCTATAAACTGTCACAATCATGCTTTATCATCCTAAAACAAGGGGCTACTCTGAAAAGGTGGTACTGGAACTCGAGGCTTCTCTAACGCAGCGTGTGGGAGGTCAGCGAACACACCTGGCCAGGTTGTCGCCCCCCGAGCACACACTGTAAAGGCCAGGAGTGCATCTGCAGGATCACTAGGATAGGAGGCTTCAATTTAGATAAGATGCAAGACCGAAAATATTTTTGTTGGTGCTGCAACTACTGCTGGATCTCTGAGAACAGCCACTGGACCCCTTTTCTAGCCTATGACTCCTAGCCTTGCTGTTTTTGTGGCCCTGGAGCAGGATGGGCTGTAGCTACTTCATCTGAGAGCTCATGACTTCTGGGCATACTGACCTTTCTCCAGAAGGAAATGAACAGTGGTAATCACAAGCTGCTCTCCTAACCCCTGGCAGCCCCCAGGAATGAGGAACATACTTCCCAAGGCTTCCAAAATTATAAAATGAAGGAAGCAATCACGCTTTTGCAACTGCAGCTGTTGATGTGGACTGGCTTAGAAAGTCTGCCCCAGTGCAGACAGCCTGTTGGCTGAGGCAGGAGAGAATTTATAGGTGTCAGAGAACTGTGATCTAAGCTTAATGTTCTGCCCCTCTTGAGGTCCTCTGGTTGGGTAACGGGATTGCATCAGCCAATTTATCTGTCCCTGACTGTATCTTGGGAAATCTGTTCTTTCTCTGACACATATATGTGCAACAAACAGAACCACAGACAATCCAGGAGTCCAGCAACAGGTCCTTTTCCCCACCTTGCCTGTCAAGGAAGGAGGGCTCAAACTGAGTCTTAATGATACGACATAAAAATGTCTTGTCACCCCATTGCAAAAGCAAACAGACAAAAGCAATAAAAAAGTCAAAACCAAAGTGCTCTGCTGTTGTAGCTCCTCACCAGACAAAGGCAGAATAAACAAAGCTGTCTCTAACTAAGGACTTTAAGAAAAACTGATACTTCTGCTCCTTCCCTGTCACTGGGGTCCAAGGCATCTTGTGAAGATGCCAGCTGCCAAAATACCCAGGGGACGTTCACAGAGAGGTGATTTCTTCTCCACCAGATTTCTTTCTGGGGACTTTGTTTCTCTAGGAATCCCAGTTGCAGATGATTCTGACATCATACTTCAAAGTGGAGAAACCAGAGAACTCGAAAGAACACTCTTCTCCAGCTCAGAGAGTGCAGCCTGCAGCCCTGGGGAGCTAAGTTGCTTTCCTGGAGTTTTACAATAAGCTGGGAAACAAACCCCCAGATTTCCTGGCTTTACACCTCTTTCATCTCAAGCACCAAATAGTCAATTACTAAACGGTCTGGCAAGGATTTCGGGTAGCAGATGTATAGGAAGCCGAGAAGCTCAGGACAGAGCCCAAGCATGTGAACTCAACAGCAAAGCTGCTGCTATGCTAGAAGCAGCGCGTATTAGAAGCACCAAGGCCCAGCCCTCTGTGTGAAGAGAGGACACTGGCTTCTACCGCCACCAGCTACGCCATCCTGTGTCATCCCAACCATTTCTCTGTTTTCAAGTTTCAGTAGCATAAAATGGATTTAATGATACCCACCTCACTCTTTAGTGGGACACTGTAAGAATCAAATGTTCCAGTGGGTAGCAAAGCGGTTTGAAAGAAATAACATAGTTGGAATAACATATAATCTACAGAAGTTAGATCAACTATAAAAAGCACATTTTGGAGGAAGACTGGGAGAAATTTTTAATATAGACTGAGTAATAGCTGATACCAAAGAATCTCTGTTCATTTTCTTAGGGATAAAGAAGCATAGTAGTAATTTAATTAAAAATCTTCAGCGATCACAATGAAATTCGTGGGGATGAAATGACATGATGTCATGGATTTGTCTTAAAATATTTCAATGGAAGAAGAAAAGAGCCATAGATATATGCTGAAACGTTGGTAAATGTTGAGGCTTAGTGAGAATACACAGGGATTCATTATACCCCTCTCTCTGGTGCATAGTTGAAATTTTTCAGAATCAAAATTTAAATAAACAATGCACAATTTTCCGGGACATTAATCAGCTTCACTGGCCATTACCTCCCGAGCACAGAAGATCCGCTTCCTCCACAAGGCCCTGCCAAATTGGTCATCCAGAGGTCAGAGGGCAAGGGCTTGGGAAGAAGGCCAGGAGGGGGCAGGCAAGGAGCCGGGCCTGGAGGGGGATAAATAAATGGAAGCCTCCTGGCCTCGCAGAATCTCTGGTCTGGGACGCAGAATCTCTGGTCTGGGACGCACCAAAACGTCAGGCCACAAGTAACTCAGATGTGTGCTTGGTCTTCAGACCCAAGTTTCATATTCAGCTTTGCTACTGAATGGCCAAGTGACCTTACACCAAGTCATTTTTTAACAGAGTCACAGGAAGAGAAGCAAACACAGAGGGGCTGGGTAGAGGAGAGATCCGTCTTGACCTTGGGGAGAGCCCTGAGAGACACCAGGGACCCACGGGGTGCATATATACTCTGCCATGGGTTTGATCACTCCAGGAGGAGGCGCCGGAAGGGTAAAGGGCAAAGAGGTGAAGGAAAACAAAAACTGTATTAAAGGAGGGGCTCGGCGAGTCAGACACTCGTGGGCACTCACCTAGGAAGTGAATTTTTCGCCTTCCTTTCTAAGCCTCCTCCCTGGTCATTTAGCACACAAGACGCCACGAATAACAAGTGGTTCTTCAAACATGACATGTGGGCTTCGGGGTCTCCAGGACGGGCAAGGTCGTGGTGAGGAAGGGAAGGCTCTTGAGCAAGTGACACGGGTTCGATTCCCCACACTGCTAAGCTTCGCTTTTCCTTCTCTTCGGAAAGTTAAGGACTGTTTTAAGGTTTCCACAGCTCCTAGGTTTTAGGAGAGCAAACTAATTTGGGGCTTGTCTCCGACTCTGGTGGTATCTCTCCTGTCAGACTCCGAACCACACTAACTCAGTCCCCTGCCGGAGCCCTGATCTGCTGCACACCTGCCCCCACAGCTCTCTCTGATTTGGGGTGCCGGGGTGGGGTGGGGGAGTGATGGAAAGAAAAGAACCTCTCATCTCTTTCAATATTTCTATTCCAATGCTGGCTACCTCGACAGACACCTCGAGGAAGACAGCTGCCCTTCCTAGATTTGCGCTTGGGAGGAAGGGGGCGCAGTGTGCGAAGCGCCCGAGGAAAAGTTGGAGGAACTGGAAACCAGGGAGCTAACCACCCAGCCTGTGGTTCGCTCTAATCGGGTCTGTCTTGAACGCACGAGCCCTGGGTTCGCTGGCCCGTGTCCTTTCTTACTCCATCCCGTCTGGGCGGTTTCCGCAGGACAGGACGGACCCTGGCCCCCGGATGAGCCAAGCCGATTAGGGGGTAAAGGAATTCCTGGCGTGCGGACCGCGCCTCTCCTCCCGCGGGGCTCATCCGAGGCTTTCCAGCAGGCTGGCAAGAAAACCCGGTTCCCGGCTGTGCGTGCTACAGCTGGGGGTCGCAGCGTCTCAGCCCGCGCGCCCACATCCCCAAAGCCACGGCCGCAGCATGTCCCCTGCCCCCTCGAGCTCCACGTCTCAAACCGCGGCCACGGCACAGCCCTCGATGTCCCTGGCCTCACGCTGCACCCTCCATGCACCCTGCGCGCACCGACGCTCCACTGGTCCCGCTCTCGGCTGCGGCGCCTCCCCCGGGCCTGCCAGGCGGGGCTGGGCGGGGCGGCCCGCGTCGGAAGGGACGGTGGCCCCGAGTCTTCGCAGCGCTCCAGCAAGAAGCCCTTGCTCCTGCGTCGCCGCCCGGGGCCCAGCATCTGGGGCAGGGCCGAGGTCCCGGGGCGACGCTCCCGCTTTCCCGCGACCCGCGCTGGGGGGAGTGGCGCAGGGCGCGCCCTTACTTGGTCTCGGGGTCCGCGGTGGCCGGGCCGGGCCGGGGCTCTCCGCGGTGGCCCCTCTCCGCGCCGGTCGCTGCGGCGCCCCTTTCCCGAGCCAAGGGGCCACGCAGACTTCTCCACCCGACCGCTGCACGGAGCGAGCCCAAATTTGGGAAGTGGCGCGCTGCAGGCGCAGGTTTGCTCTTTTAAAGCGAGCCGGGCGGCAAACCCCTCCCCGGGCCCACCCCCTTCCCGGGGCGGCCACCGCGGCAGGGCCGGCCTCCAGCCCCCTTTGTTGTAACCCGAGCCCGGCCCTCCCCGGCCTAGCGGGCTCTGCGGGGGCGGCCGCGCCCCGCTCCGACCCCACGGCGGGTTCCCGACGCTGAGAAGACGCACGGGTGTGTTGCGCGCTGCGCTTTTCCTCCGGGAAGCCCCTCTCCCAACCCCGCCGTGCCCTCGGTTTAACTCTTCGGTGTCCTGATTTACCGAATCCAGCTGCGCATCGGAAAACCCGACCCCTCCCGGCTCCTAGCAGACGTTAACCGTGAGGAAAGGGAGAGACTGGAAGCTCGATCATCGCTCTTAGGCTTCGCTTTCCTTCTCCTGTAGACCGAAACGGATTCTGAACACAGGAAAACCAGCAACCCTCTTTGTGCCAGCGTATCACACCTGTGGTCGCGGCCACAAGCCACTGTCCCCTCTGAGGAAAGGCTTTGGAACCCGTGAGCTCTGAGGTCTCTGCTTTTGTCAGGGCGCAGATTAACCAGCCCTGCTCTGAGGGGACCGAGCAAGACCCAGCCGGGGTGGATATTCGGGGCCTGCGTCTCGGGGTCACTGAGGAGTCCCTGGTGACCCCAGGGCAAGGCTTTGCCAGGCGGAAGCAGCCAGCGGTAAATGGGAGAGCAGCCTGGGTCTGTGCCCTGTAGGCAGAGCCTGGCAGCCGACTCGTGCGCGAACACTGAGTTTAACCCTTCTTGGTGCTGGGTCCTAGGGACCTCTCCTGCGCACCTTCCTTCTAAGCAAACCCTCCCCGCTGCCGGAGATGGGGCTCTCCCCTCCACCGTTTCTCTCCAAGGCTGGACTGTAAGTCTGCTGGCTGCCAAGTCCTCTCCTCTCGGGCCTCTGGACGTTCCCACGACCGTCACTAACCCCAGATGTGGAGCCGGGTTCACCACCCCGCCCCCTACACTGAGTCAGCGCTGGGTCCCTGAGCAGAGGAGGGAGAGGACGAGGGAGGTGTGGTTAGAAGAGGCCAGGGAGGGCTCCTCCTGGTGTAGTGGATCCAAGGAACCAACAGGTGATAAAACCGTATAGAACGTAATTGTATAGAACCCAGTAAAATGCGATCAGAATGCGATCCAAACCCCTTAGTACAACTGACAGCCTCACTCAGGGTCACTTCTAGCCCACCCACCTCCCAACCACATCCTCTCCTCCTTGCTGATTCCTGTGTGCCGCTGTTTTACGCTCCCAGCCTTTCAACATGCTATATACATTTGCCTTCTCTGTGCCCGGGGACGCCTTGAGATGTCACTCAGCTGTCACTGTCAGCACCCGACCCAGTGCCTGCCCACGGCAGATCTCAATAAATCCTGGTAGAATCGCGCTCTCTCCTCTTCCCTCTCTCCTTTCTGCATTAACCCACTTCTAGCCCCACCACCACCACCATGCAAAAGCATCAACAATTAACATCTAAAATGAAAGGAAACCAACTCTTGGCAGTGTTCTATCTGGCTATAAAAGGAAGCAAATTCCTCGTGAAATATTCAGAAAATATGAAAAAGAGTAATTAAGAAACACGTCACCATGATGTCCTCTCACTACAGACACTTTTTTAAAAAGCTTTTATTTCAATTGAGACATTTGTGGAGTATAAAATGTTTCAATTACACATGGATACATTGTCTGATAAGCCAATCAGGGAAATTAGCACATCCATCCCTGACATCTATCATTTCTTTGTGGTGAGTACATTCAAACTCTTTATTTAAAAAATTATTTTATTTTATTTATTTATTTATTTTCCGGTACCGGGGATCGAACTCACGATCTTGCACTTGCTGGGCAGGCGCTGTGCCGCTGAGCTAAATCCCCAGCCCCATTCAAACTCTTTTCTACTTTGAAATATACAATACATTATGGCTAACTGCAGTCACACAAGTGTACAAGTACTGAAGGCTGATGAGACCCTCCAACGCTTGTAGGGGTGACAACGGGGAATAAAGAAAGAGACAAATTTTAGGGTACAAGTGGGACTGGGGGAAGCACACGTCTAGTGGACTGGCTCAGCTACCTCTGCAGTTGACCCACTTTTATTAGCCAGCAATAAGCCCAGGGAACAGCAGCTATAGAGAATGGGTAGATAGATAAGCACTAAGTTAATGAGGAACCAGATTTTCTCTCTACCACATGCCTGTATTTTGACAAGTGTCCTCAGCAAATGTTATCTTGCTTCCGGAATGCTGGATTATCAGCATTCCACCTGTAGCCAAGTATACCTCCTGTCGTCACGTAGCCTAGTCCCCAACATACAAACAACAGCAGAACTGTTTCTTCCCATCCAACCCTAACACTGTACTTGTCGAGCATCTGTTATGCTTGATACCTAGGTGTTCTCCCAAAGCCTCATACACTCAGAGGTGGGGATTTGGGGAGGCGAAGCCTGGCTGGAAGAGGCGGTTCCCTGGGGGCATGGCCTGGAAGGCCTTCCTTGATCCCTCTCTGCTTCCTGCTGCCGTGCCGTGGACTGTTTGTCCTCCACCATGCCCCTCTGCTATGCTGCCCTGAATTGAACCCAGGCAACTGTGGACTGAAACCTCTTCGAACTGTGAGCCAAAATAAACTTCTTCTCCTTTAACTTGTGGGTGCCGCGTATTTTGTCTTAGCAGCGAGAAAGTGACTGAGACACCATCCTTTCCCCATGTCTCCCTTTCCCACCCTTCCCCAGCCTCTGGTAATCACTGTTATACTTTCGACTTCTACGAGACCAACATTTTTACTGTGCGTAGGTGTGGGATGATGTATTTGTTTTTCTGTGCCTTGCTTATTTCCCTTGGGGTAATGTTTTCTAGGTTCATGTGTATTGCTACAAATGACAGTAACATTTTTTATTTTATAGTTGAATAATACTCAACGGTGTATATGTACCACAATTTCTCTTTGTTTTTTGTTTGTTTTGTTGTTATCGTTTTTGAGACAGGGTCTCGCTATGTAGTTCAGATCGGCTTTGAACTTGCTATACAGCCCAGGCTGGCCTCAAACTCACAGCGATCCTCCTGTCTCAGCCTCCTGAGTGCTGATATTACAGGGGTGTGCCACCATGTCCGACTCTACAATTTCTTTATCCATTCATCTGTTGGTAGACAGGTTGATTTTATATCTCCGGTATTGTGAATTGGTCCTGTACAATATATATTGGAGTGAAGATGTCCCTTCAACATTTTGATTTCTTTCCTTTGGATTTATATACAGTAGTGGAAATGTTGGATTGTAGGACAGCTCTATTTTTAATTTTTTCCAGAAACTCTAGATTGTTTTCCATACGACTATTCTAATTTACATTCCCACTAACAGTGTGTAAGGATCCCTTTTCTCTACCTCCTTACTAATACTCATTATATTTTTTTCTTTTTCTTAATATTCTTTGTTTGTTTGTTTGTTTTCAGTGGTGGGGATCAAACCAGGGCATTGTGGACTCCCCGACCACTGAGATCCATCCCCAGTCCATCTTTCATTGCTGTGCTAATAGCCAGTCCTCACAGGAATGAGGTGATATCTCACTGTGGTTGTGATCTGCATTTCCCTGGTAACTTGTGATAGAGCTTTTTTTTCTTAGATATGTTGGTGATTTGTATGTTTGCTTTTGAAAATTTGGCTCATTTTAAAAGTGGGTTATTTTGGAACATTAATTGCTTCTGAATTGTTTGAGCTCCCTGTATGTTTTGCATATTAACCCCTTAGCAGATGTACACTTTGCAAATATGTTTTCCCATTCTGTAGGTTGTCTTTTCATACTGGTGATTGTGTATTGCTATGCAGAAACCTTTTGTCTGATGTGATCCTATGTGTCTACTTTTGTATTTGTTGTCTGTGCTTCGGGTCTTATAAAAAATATTCCTGCCCACACCAAGGTCATGAAGATTTTCCCCTGTTTTCTCCTAGAAGACTCCTAGTCTGGGATCTCACATGTAACTCTTTAATCCAGGAGGAAGAAGACAGAGTAAAAAAGAGCATAGTATACTTAATATGGCCAATATATTTTATATATATACTAATTTCCCCCTCAATGTAATTATTATGTATCACAAACACATACCAATCAAAAAGTGGAGTTTTATTGGAAAGTTAAATTTTTAACCTATTTCAGTAACAACTGAGGAAATGAATAATAAAACATCTCCTGTAAAAAGCCTAGGACATGAAGCCTTCACTGCTGAATGCTACCAAACATTTAAAGGACTAACACCAATACTTCTTAATTTGCCTTTTCTGCATATGGAAATGACTGTATGATTTTTATCGTTCAATCTGTTAACATGATGTATCGTGGTATTGATCTGCATAAGTTCATCTTTGTTTAAAGTGAAAGTAAGAGTCTAATTTCACACTTCTCCTTGTGGTTACCCAGTTTTTCTAACACTGCTCACTGAAGGGAATGGCCTTTCTTCATTATGTGTTCTGGACAACTTTGTTGAATATCAGTTAGCTCTAAGAGTGTAGATTTATTTCTGTGTTTTCTGTTCCTTTCCATTGGCCTATAGGTCTGCTTTTATGCCAGTACCATGCTGGTTTGGTTATTGTTAATGCGTAGTATATTTTAAAGTCAGTCAGTGTGATACACCCAACTTTGTTTCTTATGCTTAAAATTATTTTGGCTGACTGGGGTCTTCTGTAGTTACACATGAATTTCATGATTGTTTTCCTATTTTTGTGAAGAATCATTAGTATTTCGATAGGAACTGCTTGAATCTGTAGTACAGATATTTTAACAGTATAAATGCTCCCAATCCATGAACATGGGATATTTTTCCTTTATTTGTGTCTTCTTTAGTTTCTTTCCTGAATGTTTTAGTTTTGGTCCAGGAATCTTTCACTTCCTAGTTAAATTTATTCCTAAGGGTTTTTTTTTTTTTTTTTTTTTTTTTTTTTTT